CATAGGGTTTACAGTTTAGGGGCATATGGACCTGAGTAACTTTGGATTTGTGGGACTCGAGGTTGACCCCACATGAAACCTTGCACCTTTACCTGTAAACCCGAAACTTCAAGGTATGAACGTGCACACTTAAAGTTACCACTAAAGCTCTAAGGTCCTGCACCCTAAGCTCTACAGACCCCAGCCCTCAAGCCCAAAAGCCCTAAAACCCTCGAGCCCCAAACCTACACCCCAACACCCTAGACCCCCAAACTCTAAACCACAACCCACAACCCCCACAACCCCTAACTAACTCTTAGTACCCCCGAGCCCCCGAACCCTAAACCCTAAGAGGCTCTAACACTTCAAGCAAGATGAAGGCCCACGAGCCCGTATAACCCCTATAAATCCCCGACGAATCCCCTCTAAACCCCTAAACCCTAAGCCTTAAGAACCCCTAAACCCTAAACCCTCTACCCTCAACCCTAAACCCTAAGCCCTAAACCCTAAACCCTAACAACCCTAAAACCCCCCAAAAGCTTCAAAGGAAGATGACGGCCCACACTCTTGGAGCCAAGAGCGAGACGATGTTCACGCGCCGTGGGCCGCAGCTTAGGGGAGCCTTTGGGGTTGAGGGGTTTGGGGGGTAGGTAGCCCTAAACCCTAAACCCTAAACCCTAAACCCTAAACCCTAAACCCTAAACCCTCACCCCTAGACCCTGATGTTTAGTGTTTGGGTTGGGCCGGGACGACTCACCCCAACCCAACCCTAAACCCTAAGCCCTCCCAACCCAAAGCCCCTCCAACTTCCCAGCCCTCCAGCCCTCCACTGTTCCAGCCTTCCAGCCTTGTCCTTGAGTGGTCGGAATATTTACGAAGAGTATTCCCTATGGTCCCTTTACAAATACACTAGAAGTTAATAATAACCCCCAAAAACCCTGTTCTGAGTATTAAGGCCCCTTTACTAGCCCTCCATCAAAGGAAACCCAGGCCTCAAAGGAGATCAAATACACGACCTCCTGCGCACCGAGTTCCAAACTCGACTCAAAGAAGTTTCCCTCCGAGCAGTCGACTCGAGCAAGCGACCTTCCGCGGACCTCCGACGTGACGGAGGTATCGCGTTCAGCCAGAGGCTATCACCGGGCCCCTGGCAAGTATCTTGTGGCTTTCTGCGTGGGCAAGGACCATCCAAGCTCTTCCTTGGCTAGGATGCCCACTAGTACCCTTATTCCCTTTTTGGTAGGTTCAGGTTCCTTATAAACCCCTTTAAGCAAAAAAGGGCACCTTAAACCCTAAACCCTAAACCCTAAACCCTAAACCCAAAACCCTAAAACCCTAAAACCCTAAACCCTAGGTTACTGGGCAACCTAGTTGGTCAAGTTGCCTGGCAGCGTGCGCTCGAAGCAGAGCTCTCAGCCATCAAGACGCAGCCGAGCGCCTCCCTCACGAGGGCTGGAGGGGTTTAGGGGTTTAGGGGTTTAGGGGTTTAGGGGTTTAGGGTTTAGGGTTTAGGGTTTAGGGTTTAGGGTTTAGGGTTTAGGGGTGGAGGGCCACAAGGCCAGGGCTAGAAGGCTGCAGGGCTAGAAGGCTGGAGGGTTGGAGGGCTGGAGGCCAACCCCAAGCCGTTCAGCCCTCCACACCAAATCAAAGTTGTCTTCCGGCTGTTTTAAGTTTGGCGGCCCTTTGACAACTGCCCCGGAAGTACTAAACCCTAAACCCTAAACCCTAAACCCTAAACCCTAAACCCTAAACCCTAAACCCTACTGTTTTATCTGTTTAAATGTCAGGGAGTTTAAATAGTGTCACCGTAAGTGGACTTAGCATGGCCGAGACTAAGTTGGGTTTAGGGTTTAGGATTTAGGGTTTAGGGTTTAGGGTTTTAGGGTTGTGGGTACTGTTATTCGGCCTGAGTTTTGTAGCCTCGAGCCAATTACCCTAACTGAGTTGGGTTGTAGGGTTGTGCGTACTGTTATTCGGCCTGAATTTTGTAGTTTTGAACCAATTACCCTAATTGAGTTGGGTTGTTAATCTTATCACGCTGGTGATAATTTCCCTGTATCCTAGGCCCCAAGCCCTAGACCCAACAACCCGTGCGTCTGCCCTGAACCCTAAACCCAAAGATCCCAACACCCCCTAAACCCTAAGGGTCCATGTGCCTAAATAGGGAATACGTGGGCCTGAAAGTACCTCCTACATATGGATTCTTGGGCCCAAGAAAATCAGAATATGGTACATGGACCCTTAGGGTAAGCTGAAAACCGAGACCTAAATGTGGTACATGGACCCTTAGGAAAGTAAAATGGTTGTAGGGTCTAAGTGGGTGTATGGTTTTAGGCAATTCTGATTCAGGCATAGGGTTTAGGGTTTAGGGTTTAAGGTCTTTAGGGTTTATAAATAGGGTTTAAGTGCATTCCCTGCTAAAAGCCCTTTGAGGACACTAAACCCTAAACCCTAAACCCTAAACCCTAAACCCCAGGGTATGGGGCTAAGATACAAGGCACCTCGCATCCCTCGAGGGGGTCGTCCAGTCCGTTCAGGACAGACTTCGGAGCTAATTAGGGTGTGTAGGGTTTAGGGGTTAGGGTTTAGGGTTTAGGGTTTAGGGTGTATAGGGTTTAAGGTTTAGGGTTCATGGTTTAGAGTATACAGAGCTCCCAAACCCTAGACCCTAAACCTTTTTTGTGTTGAAAACCTAGCAGACATAGGCCAGAATTGAGAGACCTGACCATATTTTCTCAGTTCTTTCCCAAAATGGGGTCCCCGAACATACCCAATAGGGTTTAGGGTTTAGGGTTTAGCGTTTGGGGTTTAGGGTTTGGGGTTTGGGGTTTAGGGTTTAGGGTGCAAGCTCCCACAAGGGTGCCCTATTTTCGGAAAGCTCCATCGTATGGCTTTGTGTATGGCCTATGGGCTTGGGACCTGTACCCTGAGCCCCGAAACCGAACCCTGCTGAACACGAGGAAAGTTCAGGTTTCGGGACTTAGAGTTTCGGGTTTGGGGATTGAGGGTTTAAGGTGCAGGTTTTGGGATTTAGTTAGGGTATGGGGTTCAGTTTCAGGCGACGGAGGGCCTCTAACCCCTAAACCCTAAACCCTAAACCCTAAACCCTTACTCCTACCCCCCCCCCCCACCCACCCCAATGGTCGGACACAGGATCTCACGTGCCGGGTGCCCTCAGGGCTTGCAGGGCTCTATGTGTCTATGTACCTTTTTAACTTAAGAAGTGATAATTGCAGGTACCCATACTTGCATCCCTGCTTATATGAGCCCTAAAACCCCTATAAACCATATAACTCCCTATAAACATTGTAAAACCTATAAACCCTGCAAACCCTATAAACCCCAAAACCCTATAAACCCTGTAAACCCTACACCCCAGACCCTGAACCTTACTGATATGAACCTTGCGCCCTAAACCCTAAAACCGAATGGAACCCCATACGCCCCAGAAGACTGAGAAACCCTGTAAGCCCTATAGCCCTTTTCATCGTACAAACCCTGTAACCCTACAAACCCTAAACCCCAAACCCTATAAACCCCTGCACCCTAAACCCTAAACCCTAAACCAAAAACCCTAAACCCTAAACCCTAAACCCTAAACCCTAAACCCTAAACCCTAAACCCTAACCTTCGAGAACGCCTTTCTTGGAGGAGCGCCTGGCCTCTGGGCTAGATCTGGAGAGCAGCCCCCGCGCGGCCATGACGGAGGTGCAGGCGTGGATTTCGAAGGGTTTGGGGTTTAGGGCTTAGGGTTTAGAGCTAGGTGTTGGATAAGGATCTCAAATCAGGCCCTTGTTCCATTTTCTGGGCTTCGTATCCTAGGTTGATTATAAAGCTTTCCAACACGAAAGCAGTAGGGTTAAGGAGTTTGGAGTTTCGGAGCCCCTTCGTGTTCCGGGCCACTCGGAATCCCGAGTGTAAGCTCGTCGTCCATGACTTTGGGACTTGAGTGGTTCTCGACTGATTTGAGTATTTGTCCCTAGGACTCCAAATCTACAAACCATGCCTACTTCTGGGATCGAAAGTCTACAGCTAGTGCCTGCCTTGGGCTATCAGCTTGGTGAGTTTATCAAACTATGGACCTGAGAAGTATACGTAGGGTTCAGGGTCAAGGGCCCCAAGGATCCATGTACCATGTCGTTTTGCACCTGGGCCCAAGACTCCATATATAGGAGGTACTTTAAGGCCCAGGTATTCTCAATGTAGGTACATGGACCCCCTTAGGGTTTAGAGTTCACCCTCTAAACCCCTATAAACCCCTATCAACCCTTATGAACCCTATATATGGGTGGTTGTCAAAATTGTGGCCCCTTTTTGGGTCCCTATTATAATACGGCACCTAATATTTAGGGTACCCCCAAAAAAGGGATCATAACTTTGACAGCCACACCTAAACCCTAAACCCTAAACCCTAAACCCTAAACCCTAAACCCGAAACCCTAGGATCCCTTAGTCTGCACCGTTTAAGTCGCAGCCACTAAAGGAGCTGATGGCCGTGTCCGAGAGCCGCATCGTCCAGCGCACGAAGAGCGAGGCGACTGGCCCTCCCCAACAGTACTTGCAGGTTTAAGGTTTAGATTTAGGGTTAGGCTTTAGGCTTTAGGGTTTACGGGTTACGGTTTAGGGTTTAGGGTTTGGGAGTGTTTAGGATTTAGGATTCAGGGTTTAGGGTGTAGGTTTTACGGTTTAGGGTTTAGGGTACCCTGAGCATGGAGTTCTTTGGTGCTGAGTATGCCATAGCCTTTGACCGACCTCCAGGGGCACTGACAAGTCCCCAAGGTCCATAAGAATCCCGAGGGCCGAGCGCCCTACACCCTAAACCCTAAAGTGCAATGCTAAAGGATTTTAGCATAAGTTAGCTCGGGCACTTGAGCTTTATCTCCTCAGCCTGCCAGCGGCTCAGAAATGCAAGATTTCATTCAACATTCAAGCCTGCCTGCGGCGCAGAAAGCAACAACGTTTCTCCATTTCAACTTCAACGTTCTAGCAAGACTGTTAGCTGGGATCCCAGTTCTTCTGCCATGTTAAACGCAGCAGAACGCTTGGCAACTCTCGCGGCTGGGACTGCTTGCCCGCCTGCGCCGAACGTGGCCGTGGCACAGACAGTTGGCCTTGGGGAAAACACACTAAGCAGCTTCTTTGGCGAGTTGGATCCTGACTTGGAACTTGTGCGTTCCACACTGGTAAAGCTTGGCTATGACATGAGCCAAGAAGATGTGAACCCGGTGTTGCTTGACATACAAGCCTTGGGCACGGACGAGTTCTTCAGTGGCCTTCCTGGGGACACAACATTGAGGGCTAAAGCAGCTTTCAAGAGATTCTTGAATATGTCCTCGCCGTTCACCTCTCAAGAAGCTTCCCAGTCCACGGAGTCGGATTTGCTTTTGAAGACGGCGCTGCGAGTTGCTGGAATGTCAGATCCGGTTGCTGAAGAAGCCGAGCGACTGAAACATAAGCAAACCGTGGGTGAGCTTGCCCAACGCCTCGAACTCGGCATGTTTGCTCCGTCCTTGCTTCCAGATGCGGATTTGCTCAGAAAAGTCTCTTCGGCTGCTCAAGTCGGGCACTTCCCACAACCTGACCGCAAACAGCTGTTAGATCATGAAGGTCCACGGGCCTTTGCCAAGCAGCTTTGGCAAATTCTTCGGTCCGGCATCGCTCTCCTCTTGATGCAGCGTATGTCCCCGGCAGCGTTGTTCAGCGAGTTGGGCTTGGCGCTTCAAATTGCCAGTGAAACTCCAGGCGATGACAAGCAGGCGGAGAAATTGGCGGTGCTGTACAGCATCAAGATTCGGGAGCTCCGTCACGGATCCTCTTTGAATGTTCCCTTGAACCCAGATGTGGACACGAAGCCGTTTGAGGAGGCTATGCAGGTTTTCCTGCGCCGCGACCCCGGCGTCTTTTCGGAAGCCAAGGATTCTGTTTGTCTTGAGGAGGGTGGTGCAAAAGCTCCTTCAGCTCCACAGGCTCGCAAACCTTCTCTTACTGATCATTGCTTGAGACACGCAGTCAAGCCCAACTTCTGCAGCGGTTACGGGCGGAAAACATGCGGCTTCAACCACACGTGTCCTTTCTGTCAAGGCAAAATCTGCCAGAATAAGCCCGGCTACTTGGCTCGTCACCTGGCTTCCCTACGAGTGCCCATGGAGATGGTGGTCAGAGAGGAGGGCCGTTCTCACAAGGCCCGCTCGCGGTCTCCTCGAAGACGTTCAAGAAGTCGTTCACGCAGGCGTGACCGTGGTGACCAGAACGCTGCTAGGGTTTCGCCGGAGCAGAGGACGCCAGCAACTCCGACGTCTTCCCATGGCAAGAAGTAGGACAAAGGCGGCTCCTTCGATTGGGCACCGGTTGAAGAGCGACGCCAAGACCAGGTTCAAAGGTGCCTTCCGGCGACACTTGGTCGCCACAGTTTTGATGGGGCTCTCGGCGAAGCAGAGGACCCAGCCACTTTACAGTCTGGCAGCAGCAAAGAAGTTCAGCAAAGCTTGCTCACGGCATTTTCTTCGGACGCACGGCTTCCGCCCGCCAGTTCTCTCACTCCGCGTATCCTCGGCATCATGTCCCGTGCACAAAGGGTTTTGTCAAGGTGATTTTCTGGATGAGAGGATCCTGGCGGACAAGTCTCGCTACATGTCCTCCTGGGAAGATTTCGTTTCCGAGGTTATTCAATTCAGCAGCCCCCTGCGCCAACCTTTCCGAGACTTGTCCAGCACTGTGACTGCAGGGATTTGGCAAAGGGCTACGCTGTCCGCCGCAGAAATTGCGGCATACCGGACGGAGCAGATGGCGCGTATTCGTCGCGTTGTGGCGGCGGGTGGTCCTTCAACACAGCCTCGTTGGGGAGTGTTACAGCGTTTGGCAGAAGTGGCAGGCCATCCAGATAAGGCTTTGGCCGAAGATGCGCAGCAGCCAGATGGATTCCGCTTGTTGGGACGACTGCCAGCAGTGCCACAATGGCCACAACGCCCGGAACCTCTTGCTTGGGATGATGCAGCTCATGTTCGAGATCTCCAGCGTCTCTTGGACAAGCATGCTGTTAAGCAGAAGGATGGTCGCTTCAAGGTGCCTGGCAGCCACTCCGCGGAGCTTCACAGGCTACTCGAGGAGGAGACCGCCAAAGGCTTTTGGACGTCCTACTCGTGGTCAGAGGCGCGTCAAGAGTTGGGAGACTTTGCTTGTTGGTTGTACTTCGGGGTTCAAGAACCATCTAAGCTTAGGGGTTGCTTGGATCCGGAAGAAGCCAATGGTCCATCGATGGTCCTGCTGCCGAACCAAGTTCTCATGGCTGGTTTGGATGGCTACCTCTCGCTTTGCCAAACAGTGGCTGCCGCCTTCAAAAAGAAAGGGCAGTTTCCAGCTCTGCGGGGCTTTGCCGAAGATTACGAGCACGGATTCCGGCAGCTTCCTCTGTCCTCTTTGGATAGAAAGCTCTTTTGCGCAACGGCCCAGGACAAGGAGGGGAACATCAGAATTTATGTGCCCCGAAAGCTTTTGTTTGGACCGCGAGGATCCCCGCATGTTTTCTGCCGAGTCACGGATGCCGTGTCAGCCATAGCTGCGGTTCTCTTGCTGATCCCCAACGTTCCTCACGTGGACGATTTGGTGGGCGTGGACACTCAGGATGCAATAGTGTCGGCGCGAGAGGCCTTTGTCGAGCTGCACGAGCTTCTGAATTTCAGGCTCAAGGCCACCAAGGCTAGACCGCCTCGCGATGCAGCGGGAAGTGCTTCAACGTTTGTGGCGCTGGGAGCTCTCCTCAGCTTTGACACCACGGAACACCAGCGGAAGCTAGGCTTGGTTTGCACCGTGGACATGCCGCAGCAGAAAGTAAAGAAGTACTCGGACGTCATCACGTCTACATTGGCGCAGCGTCACTTATCGGCTGCCGTGGCTGGGAAATGTGTGGGCCAGTGGGACCATTGTTCGGCTCTGGCCCTCGGCAAGTCAGGTCGTGCCTTTACGTGGCCTCTTAGGGAACTTTCTCGCGGCGGACAAGTCTCGTGGCGAGTGCTGCAAGCTGCTCTAGTGGGCTTCAGCATTTTCATGTGCGCCTCCGGCCCCATGCCGGTGCATGTTCCAGGCACGCTGGCTCGAAGTCTCGAAGGGCGGCCCTCATCTTTGTGGATGCTGCAGGGAGAGCCAACAGCTACAGACTCGGAGGAGTGGCTTGGGGAGCTGGTTGGTTCTGCTTTTTCTCTCAAGAGATACGACCAGAGGACTCTAACCTGTTGCCTTGGCTGTCGGGTCACTGCATAAATGAGGCCGAGGCCTTAGCAGCTGTGGTGGCATTGCTCACCTGGTCGGACCGGCTGGAAAACGTGGATGTCTTCATCTTCATAGACAACGTGGCTGCGGAAGGTGTCTTGGTCAAGGCGTACAGTTCGTCGCCGCACCTTACAGTCCTAGCAGGGCTGTTCTGGCAGGCAGTCAGGCGGGTCAAATGCTCAGCATGGGTGGGGCGCGTTCCTTCGGAACTCAACATAGCTGATGGTCCCAGCCGAAAGCATCATGCAATCTTGGAGCAGCTCCACGCTTCACAAGTCGCAGCAGTTCTGCCTCCGGCTTTCACTGCTAATTTCTTCTTGGAATTCTTACAGAGTTCCTGGGTCCAAGCAGATGCCTCTGTCAGCCACGCGGCTCCGGGACCGCGTCCCGTGCAACCTTGCGCAACTGGTGCAGCAACCGCTGCGGGCCATGGCCGCCTACAGGCAAGCGTAGCAGATGGTTCTCCTCCGCTGGCGTCATCCGACCACGCGGTCCGTCAGGTTCCTTCAAGGGACTGGGCTTCTCAAGCAAGTCGCAAGCGTCGCCACCAGGGCCAACGCTGACAGGGGAGCTGCTGCTGTCCGAGGAAAGGCGTCTGTGTCCGTGTCTCTGTGTGTGTGTAGGTGTGTGTTTCTTTTGTTTGGTTGGGGAGGGGTTTGGCTTCGCTTCTGGTATTGCGGGGTCTCCTCTCTTTGAGTTTCTGCTACGTTCGGAGCAATCTGCTTGCGCGGCTTGGGTGCCTTGGGAGGTTGTCTTGCGGCTTGAGGAGTTTGACAGTTCTGGTTTGGAGTTGGGGGACTTCAGGGGTTCTTGCTCATCCCTTAATCCGAAACCCAAGTTGCTGGCGGAAAGTTGCTGGCTGCCGCTCTGCTTTGACCAACCCAGGCAAACTCTGAAGATTTGTAAGAGTGCTAGCCTCAGGCTGACTTGAGGCTGCCCGATACAACAATCAGGCCTCGTGTTGGTAGGTCCCAGCGCTGCCAAATATACATCCATGTGTATGGGGGCATCTTACATGACATGAGATTTACAAATATATATATATATATATATGTGTGGTTTGTCTAAGAGATTTTGGCATTTTGTAGCGCTTCCTTTGACGGCATGCATGTATGTTGTGCCTAGAGGGTAACTTCCATGGAAACGACGGAAGCTTCAGCAAGCTTCGGTGGCAGATCCGGAACAGAGGCGGCAGTTACACAATACAAAGGTGCACTCAGAGTCCTCCAGTTCGAAAGCTGCGGCCGCCAGTGATGTAACGTCGAGTGCGGCAAATACTTTCAGACTGGCGTGCGCAGAACCTTCAGAGTTGCACCAGGCTGTCGGTATGCTTCCTCCCCGAGGGCGCAGTCAGGCAGGACCGACCCCGACACAAGAGATCGTTCTACTGGAAGACTTGGCTCGCAGAAAATTTCCGGTGGGTCAGATCTTGGATTCGATTGCGTCAGCAAGGGCTCAAGCGGCAGTGGCTAAAACAACTTCGACCACCTACGCCTCCCATATTCGCATGATACATTGGGCGTGTCGTACTCTTCGCCAGCCACCATTGCCGGCTTCACTGCAGTTGATCAGCCGGGTGGCCGCTCTGATCAACAATCCGAACACTCAGAGAGGCTGGCTGGCAGCTTGGAGAGACTGGCATGTACGGGAACGTGTTCCGTGGGCAGGGGACGCGGATTTGTTCCTCAAAAAGCTACGTAAGGGAACTGTACGCTTAGCTCCAGAGGCGCCTCCGAAGCCACGCTTGCAGTTGCACTGGTGGCGCAAGCTTCTCAAGCTAGCAGCGGGGAACCGGGACGTGGAGTTCGGTGCCATTTGCAATTTGGCATACACCTTTGCTGCAAGGGTTCCGTCAGAGATCTTTAAGCAGTTGTCTTGGTCCAGACTAAGTGTAGGAGATCGATGTTTAGTGTACTCCAACATTTACCGCAAGGGTAAGCCCCACCCTTGTACCTTGCGACGCTGGTGTGTTTGTAGCCGGTCGCCCTTGCTGTGCTGGCATCCATGGCTTGCAGCCCTACATGAACTACGAGGTCCTGCTGTCCTGCTTGGCCACAAGAGAAGCTGCTTGTTACCATGTCAGGCGGTGTTGACGGTGTCATCGACCATCGACCATCATTTGCAGTGTCGCAGGCATTGCCAGCATTCGGCAGAAGTATGTTTACCAAGACCTGTAGCAGGCCTGTGAGGTGCACCTGATGCACATCCCAAGGCGTCTGTCACTTTTTCTGGAACCAGCGAAACTGGATGCATGATGCGGAGCCTGCCGTGTCGAATGTCCTATTTGTGCAGGTTTCGGTGCTTTGCGTGCTTCACAGCCTGGGATATTTGGATACTGGATACTCTTATGCGAGCTTAGGATATTTCGCTGGCAACTTGTGTTCCTTTAACGTGACCAGTTTTCATTCAGTTCATCCCACTATGGGCAACTCCAAGCAGGCAGTGGCACGCAGCGTGTCTAGAAGGGAGTCAATCTCCTCGCCTGACTGTACATTATGCGCAAGCTTTGCATCCCCATTTTGTCGGACGTTGAGAGACTCGTCCATTGAGCAAGCAGCTTGCCGTTTGGCGTTTGTCCTACTTTTGCAGGCTTCCTTGCGTCCACTAAGCACGGAGCGTGCCGTCAGACTCCTGTCTGCTTTTGCAGGCTCCCTTGCTTCGCGTGCCTCGGAGCTTGGAATACTTTGCTGTGGCTACTTTCACCTCACGGCTGCGCAGTAGCTTAGTCACTTGCGGAATGTCGGCAGAAGAAGCACATAAGGTTTCCTTTCAGAAGAGGCGCAGGCACAGATGTTTTACATGCATCTCCAGTGGCTTGCGCACTCCTGGCAGGGTCGTCGTGGCATGCTTCGGCAGCATATGGGCTCCCTGGAATGCTGAGGATGGGAGATTGGAGTACGCCGGCATCAGCGTCGCGCTATGCCACGCAAGATGAGCAGCAAGCAGCCACATTGGCCTTCCAGCTTTTGGAACTGTCAGAAGATGAATCATAGATCTCCTCTCGTTCTGTTTTCCCCCTTCTTCCATATATACCAAGGGTCCCAAGGGCGATCATATCTTCGCCTTGGTATATCTTACCCTTGGGCAAAACAGAGTCCGCGGCAGCTTCACATCTGCATTCAAGTAGGGCTAATGCAATGCTAAAGGATTTTAGCATAAGTTAGCTCGGGCACTTGAGCTTTATCTCCTCAGCCTGCCAGCGGCTCAGAAATGCAAGATTTCACCCAGCCTGCCCGCCCGGGGCGATCATATCTTCGCCTTGGTATATCTTACCCTTGGGCAAAACAGAGTCCGCGGCAGCTTCACATCTGCATTCAAGTAGGGCTAACATTTGTTTTTCAACATCTTACTTTCTCTTACCCCTGATAACCCTGTTTGCGATCTAAGGTTCCAACCATGGGTCCTCTTAACTTGCGTCCCTTGTTGTATAACCCTTATATACACTACATGTAACAATTATTAACAATAACACATATTTGGGGGCGGGGCCCTATAAAAAGCCATATGGCTTTATAAGGATTGTATGAGCGACGGACAAAATTTCTTAGGAGAGTGCGAGGTCGCGGAATACCATGTTATCGCTTTACGTGGGGCCCATATCGCTTTACATACTAAGGCACTGCGGGACCCCATCAAGCGAATGTGTAAACTAATGTTATCGCTTTAGGTGGTTCCCATCTCGTTTTCCATGGTTTACTGATATTCGCAACAACTCGTGTCCACCGTAGTACTGGCTTAGACAAACACAATTTAGGCAGGCGCTCATATAGGGGATTAAGGGAAAACAAATATTTAGATATGTTCAAACCTACCTCTGTTTAGGGGTGGGCACCAGGTTGACAACCTGCGGCTGCAGATCTCAGACATGCGGGCAGTGCTCACGGACGGTCTGGACACGCGCACGGCCACCTGGCTAAACCCTAAACCCTAAACCCTCCTCGAGGGCTCCGTAAAGTCTATGGTTTGGGGGGCTTTGAGGGAAAGTTCCGGGGGCTAGTTCTACCAGCTGGGTGTGAAGATTGGGATCTGAGGCCCTAAGGCCTCAAAGCCCCAACACGCCACCAGAGTTTCCAGCAGAAACCTACAGGCCCATAAGCCCTAAACCCTAATTTAATGAAGCCAAGAACCTTAAACCCTGAAACCCAAAGCACTAACCTTAAGCCCAAAACCCAAAACCTTCAACCTCCCGCCCCGAAGCCGTAAGTTCCATGGTCCATGTAGCCGAACTGAGCCTAGAACATGACATTCCGGCCCAACAAACGGAAGCCTTCCAGGCCAGTTTGGGGTTCAGGGTTTAAACTTCTAAGCCCTTCAACCTTCTCCTCCTCCTCCAGACAAAAACACCGCTGGTTTCGAACCACCTGAAATTATGAATCGGTTGCAAGCCTTCTTTGGGGTATGTGTGACACTCAGTCACCACCCATGATCCTTCAAGCAGCCCCAGAAACCCTAAACCCTAAAACCCTAGAACCCTAAACTCTAAACCCTGAATCCCAAACCCCAAACCCTAAACCCCAAACCCTAAACCCTTCACAAGGAACTTTTAGGGAGAATTCAGGCAGCCGCCGCCGACCTGGAACGGCGCCTGCTGGCAGCGGAGAAGAGTACGACGGTTCTCCGGTCCGAACTGTCCCCTCGGCTGGTTTAGCTTTTAGGGTTTAGGGTTAGGGTGTAGGGTTTAGGGTTGGGGTTGGGGGTTTAGGATTTAGGGTTTAGGATTCCCCTTGGCTGGCTTAAGGGTTTACTTAGAGGCTGGGTAGTTGACCTTTAACGTTCTCTGGTTTTATAGAGTCCTTTTGCAAAGAAAAGGGTTAACCTTTTTTGGGCCAGGGTAGTCAGCCCCTAAGGTTAAGGTGTAGTTTAAGGTTCCAGGGTTTAGGGTTTCAGGCTTTTAGGGTCTAGGGTTTAACTTGTGGTAGAAGGGACAAGGGATATCTAGGGGCAGTTTAGGTTTCAAGGCTGGATTAGGGGGGGTTAAGGTTCAAGGCGCAGTTTAGAGTTTATTTAGAGAATGGAGGACGCAGGGTCCCAGGGTATACTTCAAGGTGCAGAGCAACTTCTCGGGTAGGTTCCAGAAAAACCCTAAACCCGAAATCCTGAATCCTAAGCGTTCCACGTAGCTTAAGCTGCCCCATCGGGCTTCAGATCTACTTGGAGGTGAGGGGTTTCCAAAAAATGAACCTGAACCCTAAACCCTAAACCCGAAACCCCAAACCCTAAACCCTAGACCCTAAACCCTAAACCCTAAACCCTAAACCGCCCTTTTGAGGGCTCCTGCGGTCCGACATCCTTTTCTCGGCCCAAGAATCATGAGAATCCTTTAATAAAGTGTTCCGGGTTGTGGTTTGTTTTTAGGGTGTAGGGTTTAGGGTTTAGGGTTTAGGGTTTAGGGTTTAGGTCACGGTTTTCAGCTTACCCTAAGGGTCCATGTACCATATTTTTATTTTCTTGGGCCCAAGAATCCATATGTAGGAGGTACTTTAAGGCCCAAGTATTCCGTATTTAGGTACATGGACCCGTCGGGTTAGAGTTCTATGTGATGGTGCCTGTGCTTGGGCTAAAA